TAGTTTTTGCTGTGCACATATATGAATATAACATAACATATTTTCCTACTCACCGGTTCGCAGCCACGCAGACGGCCGTTGAAGTCAGTCAAACGATCTTCAAAACCAGGCGCGAAGCAATTGGGATCCACAGCAATGAACACTTGACCCAAATCGGCCGCGGTATTTGCACCCGCATGCGTCCATTTGCGCACCTTCGTCGAGTAATTGGCGCCCGCCGAGACACCAGAGAGTATATCTACCATAGCACCGAGACCGTAACCCTTGTAACCGGAGGAGATTTCCGGGCCACCGAGCGGCATTAAACAGCCAGTGCTGAAAGCCAGTTCAGCATCRTTGGTTTGGTTGCCTGTTRGATCTTGCGCCCAACCATCGGGCAGGGGATCGCCTTTACGACGTTGTATTTCGATCTTGCCCACCGCAACCGCAGTGGTAGCCATATCCAATAGGAATTTATCATCCTTTGCGGGTGCACCGAATGATATTGGATTCGTGCCTAAAGCAGCCTCCTTTGAGCGTGTCGGCGCCATCAGTGGTGAYGTGTTCGTCGTGGTAATRCCCATTAAACCCTCCTTCAGTGCACGCAGCACATACCATGAGGCGATGCCATAGTGATTCGAGCCCTTGGCACATACCCAACCGACACCAACCGCTTTCGCTTTCTTTATAGCCAAATCCATGCAGAAATTACCCACAACTACGCCCAAACCATTGTGGCCATCCACCCACGCAGTGGAGGGAGTTTCCTTTAGAATTTCGGGTATGGCACCACCATCGGTTGAGTTGATCGCCAAATCGTTAATATACATTTCGAGACGGTTCATGCCGTGACTGAAGTGACCACGGTAATCGGCTCCCACTAGSAGGTCGGCCATGGCCTCGGCATGATTCTTGGGCACGTTGACGGCCAGGAAGCAGTCGGTCATGAAGCGTTTGGACTCGGTGACCGCCACCAATTTGGGTTGCTGAACACTCGACATTTTTCGGTGAGAAATGCGACGATTGTCTAAAATAAAAATACAAATTCTTTTATGGCGAAAAGATATGAATTTCTTTCTTTTTTGCACAAAAAATCGASCCAGTAAAACGGATGCGACGATCGCGTTCGGTTATTCGCGTACGAATGAAATTGGTTGGGTTGGCTGACTGATATTTTCGTTAAAATCTCGCAAATAAATAAATGTGGCGCAAAACGAACGCGCGTTAGTCGAGCTTAATGGCGGCGCGGTAGGTGCAGGGGAGTGTGTTTGTTTGGTCTACTGTACATCACCAAAGTATTGGTTTGCGTGTATGTGTGTGCTTGCTTGTGCTTTGCCATTAAATTGTTTACGTTGGAAGCTTATAAAATTTTGTTATCAGGTTTTGCTTGAAAAATTTAGCCAAGGGTCGTGGTATGCAAAAAAAATAACAATGTCAACATGAGCAGAAAGAAGTCTGCTTAACAGCACCACAAATGGGCAGCATGTGTGCGTTACTTATTTGGGTCTGCTGTGTACATTCTAGCACACAAATTTCTGCTACACAATGGTTCAAAATAAAGTATACACTTATTATTTCATATGAAAATTCTAAAAAAAGTCATATGGAGGGATTTATATATTAATAGAAAATTTATATTTTTAAATCCATATGTACATTTTTCAGACGTCAAAGAGCTTTCTGGCACCCTCTCGCTAAAAAGTACTTTTCTACATGCAAAACATATTTTGAATTTTATATATCCTCAAAGTGCTGTTTCTTAAGAAAATATTTAGTCATGCAAAACAAACTTGAAAAAATTATACCGGACTAGACCTGAGAGCGATGTATCTAATAATATATAATCATCTTTTTTTTTTACAAATATAATAACGTAATTTGAAGAAACTCTCTGAAGCTAACATATTTCTATACTACAAAATCATAAAAAAAAGAACCTGATTTTGACCGATACGCCCACTTTTTGGTGAAATCCTATATCTCGGGACCCAACTGACCGATTTCGAAAAAATTTGGAAAATGACATTCTTTTCATCACGCTGTGAATATGAGCGAAATCGGACAGCAACCACACGTACATCCCATACAGCACAATTTTACATAAATTTCACTTGGTTCTTTTACTATGATGGGATTAAACTTTGCACGTAAAATAGCTTTAGTAACTATATGCTACTTTATGGCAAAAAATTTTTCAAATCCAACCAAAACTGTTCAAGACCATAGATACCGAATATGTGGACCCCAGTACCTATAGTTGACTTTCGTTCGAAAATATCGGTCAATGTCAGAGATGTCTGATGGTATGTAATACAAACATTTTCGAACTTCCGATACCAATATACGATTTATCTTAACGAAAATTAGAGAACGTATTGTACTCATAAGAGTGTATTTTTGTGCCTAAAATAAAAAAAAATTGGCAAAAACTTAACATAGTCTCCCTATACAAGTATAACTAATATCAGCCTTTTCGAACATCCGGCTGACTTTACTCTATTTGATGTGGTTTTTAGTATGTGACATGCTAATAGTATGTGGTATATGGAAAAACCAACTACAACTAAACTAGACTACACCAACTGCCACATATATCTATATACTTGTATAATGGTTTTCGTTTTTTTAACAAACCTTATGTATCTGTCAGTATAGGAGTTGATTTCGATCCTCAGGTTGACATGCACCTTAAGGGGTTAGGGGTAGTCAGAGGCCCGAAAAAATCACAATTATCATTTTTTTTGCTATTAAATCGTGTTATTTTACAAAGGTAGTAATATGGAATTATTATAGAATGTGTTGACCTGAAGGCATGAAAATTTCAAAAAAAAAATTTTATTTCCAAAGTTATAGTTGTTTGCGTTGACCCTGTTCCAAAAAAGGTACTTGCGGTGACAGCCGTAAGTCCTTGGAGATTCATCTAAAATCAATCGGACAAAAAAAATAGTTTTATAAATAGATAATCCTGGGCCTGATCGAAGGAATCATCATGGTCTTAAAAAATCGAAATTTTTGGAAAAAAATACTTTGATCAGGCCCGAATTTATTATGTATTCTAAAAGATGTATAAATTTTATTAAAATCTACTGAGCGGTTTTCGAGCTACAGTTCAAAAAACATAGTTTTGAGAAAAACGCGTTTAAAGTTTCACACCAGCGCTTTGAGGTGCCCGAACTCTCTTTGTTATTTGTCGAATAACTCAAAAACTAATTATCGGATCAACGTGAAATCTTCAGAGAATATTTTTAAGATATTACACTTAACGAAAATGTAAAAAAAAAAAAATTTTTTTTTGAAAATTCTGACTACCCTAACCCTTTAAGTCATCTCCCTGGCTTTGATGCCTGTAAGTTGCAAAAATATAAACTTTTCGGTTGCACCCGAACTGAGCCTTTCCTTACTTGTTTGTATGTATATAAATATTGTATAATTTTAATCAAGTGTAGTTATTTCTGTCAACAGTTGTGTATTATCAAGTTTTAAACATGTGTTGAATACAAATAAAATTTAATATTTATTTTCACCCAGACATCGATGTATATGTAGTATGTATGTATGTATATGTGTGTGTGCGCTTTGCAAAGTTTAAGATAATGCTAATTTTATTTATAAATTGAGTTTTATCAGCCTCATTATGGTAGGCCAATTGTATAATAGTGATTTTTGCTTTTATAGCAGCTTAGTAGAATTTAGTAAACAGGTGGTGAGGTGAATATATGTGTGTTTGAAACGGCCTACCTAATTTTTAAGCTTTTTATAAAAATTAATTAACGAATTTAAGATAAAGCAGTCACAATATATACATACCTTAAAATCACAAGAATTTAAGTAGCATCAAAATGAAATTAAAATTTCTTAATAYTCATGACTTTTTATATTAAAATGGCAACATTTATTGTCACTAAGAAACTTTGAACAACAAATAAGGCGCTCATTCATTATGAACTACTGAAAACGCTTCAATACTCAAGCAATTAAGACAAATTACAAGCGACAATGATTGATATTTACAATTTGTTTGAATTTAAGCCYTGAACTTGAGAATTAACAATGCACACGATCCTCCCATGAGCAAACCTAGCCAAGGCATATAAAAATAAACATGTATTTTTATATATATTTATAGATAAAAAATATTCAAAAGCAATAATACGTATGTACATAGGAAAAGTATATGTATTCTTGAGTGTCACATAAAGGGGTGTGCGTCACTTTACTTTACGTAAAGATCTTAGAATTTACTGCTGCGACGATCAGCCAACAAATACGCAAAATGAAAAAAAAAAATAATACATATGGAAAACAATAACATGTGCCAAATAATAGATTTTTATGTATTTGTACGTGTATTTTGCGTTTAAAACGGATGCCGAAAGCATTATAGTGAAATTTTCAGAGTGTCAGAACGAGCGACTGGTTCTAAAATGCTTTTTTTGAGGTTGATTTTAAACTAGTTGCTAAAAATTAAATATGTGTAAAGCACGCTAAGGACKTCAATGAACAAAAATTTACTAAATGTTCACGATATTTTTTATATTAATTTTTTGCTTGAGAAAACTTATGCAGCGTTCAGAATTTGAAAAAAAAAAAATATTTTTGAGGTTAAGTTTACAGAAAAATTTAAAAAAGTAAAATTTCGAAAACCTTTGTATTGGGATATTGTAGCATAGTCTAGCATAATTTCGTGAATATATCTCGTCTGGTACAATGACTTTTATACAAAAACTTGATTTTGATCGATCAGTTAGTAAGGCAGCTWTATGCTATAGTCGTCCGAACTGAACAAAATATTCGAGGATTAAAGCKCTACYTTGGAAAATAATACATACCAAATTTTACGAAGATTATTGACGAAATAAAAAACTTTCCTATACAAATGTTTGAATTTGATCGGCCAGTTTGTATGACAGCTATATGCTATAATTTTCAGATCTGAACAATATGTTCGGAGATTGTAGCATTGTCTTAGGCAATAATGTATAAAAAAAATGTATGAAAATATATTGTCAAATAAAAAAGTTTTCCATACAAGAACTTGATTTAGATCAGTCATTTTGTAAGACAGCTACACGCTAAARTAGTCCAATATAGACGGTTTAGATGAATAAGCAGCTTCTTCAGAATTTTGGAAATCGATTTCGCTAAAACTGACGGACTACTTCACATTTGTACACACATAATTTTCCAACACTTCAATTTGCTGCGTGGTTAAACATCGATAATATCGTAAATAAAGCGTGTGAATCGTGAATTTTTAATATTGTTCTCACTCCTGATTTCATTGTTGTTGTTTATACAATAATACACTYGTGATCTCGTGTTCGTTATGTAATAGATTTAGCAAAATTTTTTTATTATATACGCCAAAAAATATACAAACGTACTAAATAAATAACTTTTTACACACAGTGAAACTTTTTACTTAAAATATTCTCTACACATATAGAAAAAAAATGAATTATCACTCGCATTAGGTATAAGACAAATATGTTAGGCACACTGCGAATGACAGGCGTTTATTTTTATCTTTAATTGTTTACTCCTAATTGTAGGCAATGTTTTTAACTGATGCGCAGGGCTAAAGAAGAATTTACTAAGAGAATTTAAAAGAAATGCTAAACTAAATTAATTTGTATTTAAATAAGTCTGAACAGAAAAAAAAGAAAATATTTATCCGATCATTAGAGTTAAATAAAAATTACAGAGCAAATTAACTATAAGCTGAGAACGCAGGAATAACTTATGTATAAGTAAATTTAATACTTAATACCACCAAGATGATAAGTACAAGAGTTAACTAAACGAATTCCCTTTTCTTTCAAATTTTGTGGTAGAAGTCACGTCTGGTCTGAGTAATTTGTAGAAAATACAGTCAAAATAATGCAAAGCAAAGAAGCTGTTCTCCGAAAAAACTGTTGCTTGAAGACTACAATCAGTTTAAATTATATTTAATTATATTTACCCGGTTGCAAACAAAAAAAAAAAAAAAAAATTGCAAACCACATTTGTGAACCGATTTTCTTAATGAGTTGTTTAACTAAAACTAAGAGCGTAAAAATTATCTTTATCTCACAAATTCTAGGATAATAAGAGACTCACTCAGAGTAATACAAAATTCCACTAAGCTACTCACCATTATAAACATTTTCCGCAACCGCCGCCACAGATGTAAGCTGATTTAGTGTTCCACAAAGAATTTTACCGCTTGGAGTTAAGCTATTGAACTTTCTGGCAAACACAGCTGTGGCCAGCTGATTAGACGTATTGTCTTGTACATTGCCACGTAAATATTTGATAAGTGCAGATGAGGAACAACGCCACTGTGCATTATTGATCGTGCGTGTTGGTAGGCTGAAGAAAGTCAAAGATGTCATTTTGTTGTTGCGACTAAGATCTGAATCGACAAATGAAATACGAAATCAGACGCAGCAACGCTTTCTTATCAATAATTAGCAGTTTGTTTTGCTGAGAGACTAATCAGCTGTGATGATTATGTGACTGGTTTGTTGTTTTTTTTCGCTAGTTAATTGTAGAATAATTGTTGAATGATGACGTTAAGCAAGAATAGGGAGAAAGAGAAAGAGGGAGAGATAGATAAGACAGACGATAAATTAAATTAAGTATTAATTGTGCTTTAATATTTCCAAGTACACTTGTATGAGTTTATATGAATTTGGCACTAGTAATAAGTTTATATAAAGAGCATAATTATGATTCGACACTTATGTATGTATAAAAAGCAACAAAAATGCAAACAATTTTCACTCGTCAAAGTTCTTAGTTTAACTTTCCACCTTTTTTCATTTTCTGCSCAAATACGTGTCTGATTTTAGTTCAACTTTACGGCCAAACATTATTTTTGCACTTTAAAACTCACTTTGCTAAAAAATTTCTTTAATATTCGCTGGCACGCAAGTMGTCGTAAACYCAGCTGCCAGTAAAAAAAAAGAAAACAAAATGCTCAAACCCCARTCAACCCGGTATAGCGCCCGCGTCCAGCTCTCAGTGCCCACTGATGACTGCCGTGTCTAATGCTAAAAGCTATACAAGTAATATGAACATACGTATGTATTGTGTGACCGCACAGCTAACTATGTAACCTTCGTTGAGAACGTTGGCATCGGCGAAACGTTTCGGGAACATGCTRAACTAAAATACATTCGCTCATTCCCTGTAGCCTCTTTCTTGAAAAATTGTTCGCCTAAACGCTTACGAAGTATTACTATTTGTTTATATACCTACGTAATTGTTACAATTTTCAATTGTAGTAAAAGTCACTGAAAAATTTACGTTTGGTCGCTAGAAAGAACTCGAGCGAACTTGCAGTCTCTTGAGCTATTGTGAATTGTGTGCGCTGGTTGATGGAGAGCAAAGCAAATTTAAAATGCATTTTTAAATTATTTACATATGTATGTAGAGATTGTGSGTAGTACATACGAGTATGTACATATGTACCGAAATGAGTATATGGAATTTAATCAATACTTAGAATTTTTAGCTTTCAAGTATGTATGTATATATTGCGGTTTAGGGATTCGTGTGGACCGAGTAATCTTTCAATACTTTAAAAGGTTTAAGTTACAACTATTGTAAAGAATTTGAAAATTAAATTAAATAAAATTAAAAAGGGCTAATCTAGAATAGAGATGTGTATATTTTATAKAATATTCACCGGAAATAGGAATATGATCCGGGAAATAGTGCAAGAAATGCGACCATATTTGTAAAATTTTGTTTCCAATTCCAATTACACATTGGCGCTCAAAACTTTAAACTGTGGTTTTCGCGAAAAATTCAGAGTCGATGAGCTAAATTTTTCCTAGATGGCTGGATCGATCGACTTCAAATTATCACACGACCTTCTTTGATATCAGGTTATGATCTCCGTGGTGGCTGGACCAATCTTTAGATATATTTGTCAGATAATGATCGTAACAATAAGATTTTGTATAACAGATTTTTAAACCGAAATGTAATTTTTTTCACAAAAAAATAAATTTTTTGGAAATGTTTCCATATTGCCAATAATAAAATAAAAATTCTACGTTTTGGTCATTACCACTATAATAATAATTTTTTGGGTTTTGGGATTCGAGATAATTTTGAAATATTTTTCTCGTCGTCAGACGGCTATTTACGGACGCCCTCCAGGAAAACGACTACGGGATCAAGGGAGCCACAAAAGTTTCGAGTTAAAAAATTAAGTAATTTCGACAAAACAAACCATTAAAACAAATTAGAATTAGGAATAGCARTTCGAACGGTTCATGGAAGTCTACTTCAAATATGTAACGGTCACAAGACAACGTCTAAATCTTATAATATGAAAAGTTCTGAGAACTCGACTGATTCGCAACAACTGACGGGTTTCATGTACRCTTAATTCAACGCAGATATAATCTTTGATTTTTAGCTGAGGATTTCGTCAGCAAAAAATATATTTTCTCAATAAGTTTGGATTTTTTCAGAGTGTTTTCCAGAACGCACCGTATGAGGTGCTTACAATGAGCACTGATTATACTTATGTGAGAGCAGAAACGTATCTGAAAAATTCTACAATTCTCAGAACCAAAATACTGGATAATATAAAATTGGAATAAAATATGTTTCAGCTTAAGCAGTGATAATATCTATCAATATAAAAAAAATTGTATTTTTATATGTATTCATTTGAATATTTTTGCAAACACTTACAAACACAATAAATGTGCAATACAAAATTTTTCCTGGCAACAAAGCTAACACTATTTGCCACCACTGTACAGCTTTGGCGCACATGCTTGTTCGCAAAGACAGTTTGCGATAAGAAACAACATAGACGTCAATTCTCATTTTACGGCGAATTTCTCACGAACACACACACAAAATATACATATTTATGTTCAAAGCAAAATAATACAAAATTCTGACACCATAAAAAACATAACGCGTCGCTTTACTCTAATTTACCTTCCGCTCAGACAGCTCGGTAGTAWATCTTTAATTACAACCGAGTTAATCCGCAATTGACTGCGAAACGTATCGAAAGAGCTGCTGGGCGCGGAATCGTGAAAATAAATATAATATACAATATAAAAACGCGAATTAGCGGGTCTGAGTTGTTGTTCTTTACGTTTGCGGTTCACCTTCGTGCTTTCGCGTAAGTGGGCGACACAGGAACGCCAAATACCGACAAATTCACTGACAATAAATGCAATTAAGGAATTTTGACGTTTAATAACAGATAATTGTGCAATAATTAAAAATAAATGTTTGGAAGGTGTAATTTTGCTTTATTAAATAAATATTCTATTGTTTGCAAAACTTTTTATAAGCCGCACTTAAGCACAGCAGCACATCTGTCTGTAAATTCAGCAGCGTTAGGCAAGAGCCGTCAACCACACAAACTACTAATTTTGCGTAAGTACCCAGGAATATATATGTATTTTATTTGTAATACATTTCCCTTTACACTCTTTTAAGGGCAATGAAATGCATTTATATGCATTAATTATTGTCTAACCCCACGCTAATGAATGACAAAGCCAGCTTTTACCCAACCCCACTTAAACTGGTTCTTTGCGCCCATACATAACTATTTAGTTTTAGAAGTAGACTAATGGGGGCGCTTCCGCCTCTGCCTCTCTTCCGTTATACCTGTACTTATGCAATGTAGTTGACATTTTGCAACATTTGCCAATTAACAGCCCTACGAACCACAAAATCTCACACGAAAGCGCTACATRCATACATATGTATTTGTTGCCGTAAAAGCGAGACAATAATAAAATTAACTATATTCATTTTTTGTTTTGGCGCTAATTTCGTGTTATCGCCTTATGCGTAAACATGTTCGTGAGTCGTGTATCATTGTTTTCAACATCAAATTCTATGCGCACATTCACAATAGAGTGGTGAGCACAGCTAAGAGAGGCTGTTAAATAGTGTTGCCTACTGTTAAATTATAAAATGTAACAAAATTTTGCACAAAAATCACCAAATATTTATTTTGTAACTAATTGTATTTAACTGAAGATATAAAGCTTCGTATAATTCCTTGAAATATTATATAATTTTTTCGCTCATRGTTTCGCAATAATATTAACCATTTTATAATCCTTCATATTTAAAATATAATTTCTGAAAAGTTTTGCTTTATATTAATAACACTTTCGCTACTTTTATCACTAATGACTACAAAAATTTATTTCTTTTATTTTAAAATTTTCATTAAACCCTATTACCAGCATTTTCATTCATATAGCAAATTAACTTATATGGTAAGAAATATAAAAATTCAAAAAAAAAAAAAACATCATCAATTGTTTTGAAAATTTATATATATTTATGTGCATTTTAGAGATACACAGAAAATATTCTTTGTATAAAAAATTTAAATTTTTTCAATTTCCCACGGCAAAAATCAGATTATCTTTGAAGTAATTGCTTATTGAATTGAGACACTATTTGAGATGGTTTGGAAAATTCCAATATTCAAAGAAATTATCTCCAGAGATGATTTATATATATTTGAGTACCCATACAACGAAAGCCTAGTGCTACTTAATTTATTAGCAGTACTATAACAATAGTACTATAAGAGTATTCAACAAAAAAAAAAAAAAAAAAAAAAATCTGGTTTAAAAAAACATATAAATAGTGATTAGAAAAAGACTAGAACAGAATTTTGCCCATTACTTTTTTGTTCTACGAAATATACTACGGCACACTATCAAGACAAATAAGAGAGTAATTACAAATTGATACAAAGAAATATATTTTATTTTATATCCACTTGTAAGTTCAAACAATTTATTTTTTTGTTATTTTTTCCTGGAGTRGCTTTTTATTGAATATATACATAAAATATATGAGCATTTGGCGAATTTAATGTATTCCAAGAATTCATATTTTATTAATTAAAAMTTTGGATTTCGTCGTTCCTGTAGAAGACCTCCTGAAAGTCCCAAACAAAAAGGTGTTTGGCGGTGAGGAAGATATCTCTGATCCAAATTGTCTGAAACAAAAAACCAAAATTATTACTTTTAGCATAAATAAGTGCGGATAATGATCGAAGAAATTATTAAAATTTTGATTTTATGCAAAATGGCGGCTTCCCAACAAAAAAAAAAACATTCTTTTTCACAAAAATTTACACTATAGACTGACTTAAAAAATTGAAAATTTTAGCAGAAACTTTATTCCTCCGATCGTYAGCTGAAAGAAGTATCTAAGCAGATCCTGTGAAAATTTCAAATCAATCGGTAAAATCGGATAAATATTCCTCACCGACTTTGTTTTTTTGAGAAAAACGCATTTAAAGCGCAGCTGCTACTTCGAGTTACGGTTCCGCCTACTTTCAAACACTCGAGAACGTCTTTACAAATACGCTCATTACTCCGCAACTATTTACCGGATTATTTTGAAATTTACAGAAATATTTTCGAATATATGGTATATGTACATTCAAAATCTGAAAAAAAAAATTTTATTTTTTCAAAATTACAAGTGCATATAACCCCATATCAAATTTTTTTTTTAAACAAGCACTTTTAGAAACAAAAAATTGCTTAGGTTTCTTACAGGCTGGAATCACTGCATCAGTGAAAGTCCTTGACGAGCCCTTAAGGCCATGATGGCAACTCTGGTGTTAAGTTTATCATCACAAATTCAATTRGATGGATTAATGCTTAAACTGTTACTTTTTTTGTTTTAAATAAATACCAGTTATAAAGTTATCGTATTTGTTATTGTAATAGTAATAGTTATYATTGGAGTGGTTAAAAAAATATTATTTCTAAATGCCAAAATTAAACATTACTATTGTGAATCGCAACTAGAATAAAATCCACATAGGTATGAGAATTCAAGAGAGCGCACCCAGTGTCTATTCACTAATCATCTCGGCTGTCGGCTGTGCAGCACCTTATTATGTTAGTTAGTGGAACAAGTTAAGCGACACTTGCTGAATCCAATTGAATACTAAGMCCGCGGCAGATGCTAGAACGTTTCAAGTCTTCGGCACTTTTTGTTTTATCTAACTTTAAAAGCGTGATTAACAAGTTAATTTGCAAGTGAAGAGATATAGTGAAGAACAAAAACTAAAAAACTAAAAAACAAAAAAAAAAAAAAAAAAAAAAATATCCAAAAATAAGTGAAAGAAAACGAGAAGTTTTAGGTGCTTCTAAATTGCAGTAAATTCCGGTTGTTTTGGTTTGGTTGCTGGCTGCTTGCTTTGACGTCTCAAATTGTCTATCAACTGGCTAGTCTTTAACGGTAACTTAGATCATCAGCCTAAGAATAAAATTTCAAATACGACACAGCGAATCAACAACGAATTTGTAAACAACAAACAAATCAAACTGTTGAAGCGACATCTTCGCATTGATCACACACTCGTTATGCTCATACACGTATGTATGTTTGTATGCTCTGAGTAAACTATTTCAAAAATCAAAACCCGCAAGAGAAAAAACTAAAAACAAAACCTGAATGACCATAATAATCATTGCTAGAATTTACCGTATAAGTACCTATTGATCGCATTTCCAAAAAAAAAAAAAAAAAAAAAAA